CAATGGGCAGACAGCCAAGGTTAAAAAGGTGAATTAAAAAAAAAAATTTGGACAAAACTATTTTCCCCCTCTTTTTGGCCACTTGCCAGAATTTCCGAACACATCCAAGAAGGTTTTCCAACTGGCACACAATTTTGTATAATAAATGCATATAACATAAAAGGCAACATGTTGCACCTTTATAACGGTACATAAGAAAACATTTACACTTGTGCTTTTACCATTTTGAAAAGAAATCTCCCGGTCTCCTACAGCCTCCTCTACATGTATCCAGCTGTGCTGTGGACAGCAGAGAAACAGTTCACTGTGTAAATATAAATGTGGCAAGAGTGTAAATTTAATTACAAACATACGGTATTACACACTATACACATCTGTCAGCTTGTGTTTTTAAAGTTTGTGCTTTAAAAATGACTCAAATTGGTCTTTTTTATTTCTGAAAATTTCATATCCAAATATTCAAACTAATGACACTATGAGAATGTTAACAGCAGCCAAATCAGTCGGCATTTATTTAGCCAAAGGTGAAGGCCTTACATGTCTTTTACCTCAGGTTTTGTTTTTGCTCATGTCAAAGTACAAGAGGTAATTTGGCCCTAATCTGCCTATTTTCTGAATATCAGCCAGTTGCACTTAAAATGTTTAAAAAAAAAAAGTTAAAGTGTAACTGCTGTCCTCCAAATAAGTGCTATCAGACAAAGACAGCTCTTGTATTTGGGGTATTTACTTCACAATCATGCCTAAGGGTATTGTTTAGTAAAATAAGGGAATATTTAAAGCCACTGGTCAATTTACATCCATGACTTTCCTGCATTCTGCTGTCAGTTGTGAATTAAGCAATAATCTACACATTTTTATATCATTATTGTTTAACAGGTTCATGTTCTAAGCACAGATGTGCTCGGTTTCAAGTACAGTTGAGATAAACCTTTCTGAAAAGGTCTTCCTATAAGATAGGTGAAATATGTCTATCCTCCACACACAGGAAATTAATCTGCTTTACAGTCACCCAGAAACACTTGTTTGGTCAAACCAAAAATGCCCAAGAAAACTGTAAATTTTCAGTGATGAAAATCATTGTTTTTTTTATGCAGAATGAAATAAAATGACATTAATTTAGGTCAAGTGCATTACGTGTATCTGTAAATGAACAAATCAGACTTAATGAACAGCAGCTGCTAAATGAAATGTGGCAGCATGGGAAAGCTATCAATGCGTCCATCTGTTCATGATTACATTGTTTTTGTCAAGTGTCAGGGATTATGCAACAATAAAAACACTGGCTTTGGCCTTATAAAATCACCTTCAAATGGGTGTCAGATGGGCATTATTTTCAACCACTAGAGAAGTGGACCTTTCTGAGAGTTCTCACTCTGAAGAATGGAGCCTTTGGAGGGAGTAGGGCATAGCCATGATTACTTCAGAATTCACTGCAGTCTGGATGACACACGGTTTAATGCAAACTTTGTGGACTCTCCAGCAGATAGTGATTGAAAGGAATGAGTTAGGGAAAAATTAAGTTTATACAGAGACCACACGGAATTTTTTAACATTTAAAACTGGAAATAAACAGAAAGTTTTAGAATTTTGAAAATTCTAAAACAAAAAATGGAAATGTGCAACATCTTGACTATTCAATGTTACACAATTTCAAGGTCACTATTTAAATTTAAGCAGATTTGTGATACTGACCATGTTAACTGCTTTGTATAAAAGGTTAGATTTTCCTTTAGTCTCATCCCTTCCACTGAAGCATGTGTTCAGACGACACGCCGATGGATTTGATCTAATTTGATCTGGATTATCAGTTTTTATACAAACTTGTGGAGTCTGTGCCAGCTCAAGTGCACGCTGTCATTAATGCAAAAAGGGGACGTACCAAATACTAAAAAATTCTGAAATTCATGTAAATATTTTTAAGATTCTACTTTTCACTCAAGTTATTGCTGATAATATCATTTGTAATGAAAACCTTTGAGCTAAATTGAAAACGAATGCCAAAACAGAAGCATTTTCACCAGTGGACTCAGATTTTTGGACCCCACTGTATGTAGAAAAAGCTTTTTCATTCAATTAACACCATCATTCTATATATACACATCATTCTATTTAATTCTGTGGATTGCAAAAAACCAAACCAGTGTGAAGTTATTTAACCAAGTTATGATTAAAAGAGATAGAAAGGGTCATACTTGAAGAATTTATTTTCTGGGCTTTGGGAAAATGTTTTATAACTATAATTAATCTTCTGAAAAAGTAATTTTTGGAACAGAGCAAAAATTGCAACCAAATCCAAACTATTCACTGATGGAGAATATAAAAACCAAATATTCAGACATGAAGGAGTGGATAACTTTATGAACGATTGTACACCTGTGTGTGATTAACGATGCTCTTTTTATACAGTTTTATTTTCTGCAGTAGGAGTTTTTGCCGAGCAGAGAGACAAGGTGGTACCGAGTGAAGCAACCTGATTTGGCAGTGTTTTGCTAAGCTTGCATGTGTGTGAAATTGACAGTCTCGTTTCTTTTCAAATATTTATGTTTAGAAGTTCTTCCATGCTGAAAAGTGCAACGGAAAGGAAAATAGTCCTCCTTCTGCTCATGACAGCCAGGGTGCAACAGTGGTGCAGAAACCCAAGAAAAGCTGAAATTAATACCCTGTCATAATGTATAGGTATAACAGTCATCATCCTCAGCCCATCCAAATGCCATGAGCTATTTACCCCATATTATGCTAGTTGTCAGTTTGCAATTATTCATATTATTATTTCAACACTCAGAAATATTATAATGTCTTTATGGACTTCTTCCTGATTTAAACCGAACTGGCAGCCTGGCATAGTGTTGTACAGAATTACCTAAATTGGCTAAAGGAGCAGATAATTATGCAGTACCTATAGATAGGGACCAATTGTTAATGTACAGTATTGTGCAAAAGTCTTAGGCTCCCTATTTTTTTTTAGTACAAACATTGTTATAGATTTTTATTTTATGACTTCTACATTATTGATTCAGTCCAAAAACATTTTAGAATTCCAAACAATAGTTTTCCAGCACAAAATTAAATGTTACAGAAAAATGTTTGTATGTCAGTAAAGAAATCAGCATATTACATAAGAGACACTTTTCAGACAAAAAAACATAATGAAGGCTGCTGAGTTTTGCTGCAAAAATAAGAAGCAAGTGTGACTGTCAAAGTCTCCAGAAGAACTGTGGCTGATTCTGCAAGATGTTCAGTAAAACTTACAGCTCATTTCCTTATAAAACTGCACAAATTGTACCTGAGACTACTTTTTTATTTATTTTTAAAGCGAAGGATCATCACACCAAATATTGACTTTGTTTCATTTATTACTGTTTACTGCTCTTTACAGTATTTTTTTTGTAATGTAGAAACATTTAGTTTCATTATTTTTGAAGGCATCTTTGCTCTACAGCATTTCTTTGCATGTGCCTAAGACTTTTGCACAGTACTGTATGTTACATTATGAAATGCTACAGGTTTATACCATGCTGTTTAGGACACTTCTGTGGTCATGGCCATTATCATAAGCTATGTCTTAAATTGAAAACTGATTATACATTTAAAAGTATTTACTAATCTAGAAAATCCAGAATGCTGGTACGCAAAACATACCTTTTGGTAGGTTAGAAGGCTACATGAGGTTTTTAAAATTCAATCACTAACTGTAATAAGAAAAAACAGTTAGTGTTAGTACTCAATATCAGTACTCATCTGTCATCTGTTGTTGGAGGTGATGGTGGTTCCATGGTGTGAACTACACCTGACAAACATAGCATACAAGGGGAGAGTGTTTAAGGACCAGTTTGAACCCTGTCTAATCTAGAATTGAACAGAAAAGTCTGTCCTTCTTCTGAACCAGGAAGTAAGCTGAGTAGAATTCCTTGATTTTGATTGGTCCTCTGAGATATGACAATGAACTTCTTGGGTCAGAGATATCGCTAGTCTGATCTGAGCCCTGAAAAAAGGGGGTCAGTGATATAACTGAAGTTTGTATCCCACAACATTATCATTAGGATACAATAATCTGATGTAGTCACTGCCCACTGGGTGATATTTGCATGTAAAGCAATTCATCACCAGCTCCTTCCTGCCCTTCATGTGTTTTTCTAGAGGACTACTGGTGGGACGTTGTATAAAATCCATTCCAAGAGCTGGATGGGAGGCACTGAAACACCTGCTAGGGGCCTGAGGGTGTGACTCTCCCTGTCTAAGCATTGTGTGAGGCAGGCAGGAACACATACCTGTTAATAGTGACCTAAAAGTTTTGTGCTAATGGTCCCATGCTGGTTTCATGATTCTGAAAGGCAAGTTTCTCTTTGTCATTGTCGCCTCTGACTTGCACATTAGTAATAAATTTAAATCTATATCGGATTTCTGTAAAGCTGCTTTGTGACAATGTCCATTGTTAAAAGTGCTTTATAGTGCATATGACCATAAATTGTGGACACCTGACTATCGCGCCCATGTGGTTCTTCCCCAAACTGTTTCCACAAAGCTGGAAGCACACAATTGTATAGGATGTTTTTGTATGCTATAGCTTTACAAATTCCCTTCACTGTAATTAAGAGGCACAAACCTGTTCCAGCATGACAATGCCCCTGTGTGCCTACAATAAGAGCAAAGTGGGACTAAATCTGGAATGGGATGTTCAACAAGTATATATGGGTGTGATTGGTCAGGTGTACACACACTTTTGGCCATATAGTGTATCTAGCCAATTTGTATTGTAAGTGCTATCTGTTAACATTGTGACTGTTTATGATATACACATAATTGTTGTTGTTCCTCTTTCAGCTGCTCCCGTTAGGGGTCGCCACAGCAGATCATTGGTCCGAGTATTTGATTTGGCACATTTTTTTTTTTTTTTTTAAACGCCAGATGCCCTTCCTGATGCAACCCTCCCCAATTTTAGCCAGGCTTGGGACCGGCACTGAGAGAGCACTGTGGCACGCAACCCCAGGGGCTGGGGTTGGTATCTTGGCCGGGAAACGAACCCGGGCCACAGCGGTGAGAGCGGTGAGAGCGGTGAGAGCGCTGTGGCCTAACCACTAGACCCCCAGGGACCCATGATATACACATAATTATATAATAATAAATTTACAACCACAATAATAATAATAATAATAATAATAGCAGATATCCAGTAGCTGATTACATCTGAACACATGCTTCAATAGAAGGAATGAGACTCGTGGAACATCTGGCCTTTGGTACAAAGGGGTTAACATGGTTAACATGGAGTTAACATGGTCAATATCACAAATCTGCTTACATGTAAATAGTGACCTAGAAATTGTAGAGATTAGAAGCGATCTGCAGACACACACAGCTCAGTCTTGCTGACAACATGGATGGTACACTAAAGGTTTTGCTGCTGGCACCCCTGATTCTGTTGGTTTCTGGCCAATCTTTTGAAAACTACAGAGACCTGCCTGACAAATATCGAAAACCTGTTAACAAAGCGCTAGAAAAGGCAAACCATATCTTTGGAAAGACTCATCATGTTGCCTTCCATTCACTCGGACACCCTCGGAGGGTAAGTACTGTCAGCATTTCAAGGATCAGCATCTTATTACTTAGAACTAATAAAGCACAAAAATAAATGCACATTTGACAATATGATCACACACCAAAAATAATGGTTAATGAAGAGACTTCCACAAACAAGTAATAAACCGTTGCCTACTGATAAATATCACAATTAAAATATTATGGCTCTATGCAGATCTAGCACTAAAGAAGAACACAAATAGAAAATCACAAAAGTGTTTTCCTTTATTATGGACTGTGCTTTTGTTTATTCATTAACCTTTAAAGATTAAAGCCAGTAAATGCATTTACGTTTCTGCATCGGAGAGCTGAAGATAATCACAGGATTACAGAGTGCGTCAGTATAGTGAAGCCAAAGGAGCCCTTCTGTGTGTGTGTGTGTGTGTGTGTGTGTGTGTGTGTGTGCAGTAACGCTAAAAGGCTTCTGCCCATGCTTTGGGAGTGAGAACGGGTTGAAAAACAACTTCAAAAATCAACCAAAAATGGGCAGTAAAACACAAATGAACCAAATCTGTCAGATATTGTTCTGATTATACTACATGTGTTTCTAAGGCATTCATTTTGGCTTTAAATCCATGTTAAATTCACACTGAAAACAAAGTGAGTGGAAATGTGTGCATTTGTGTACAACTGCACATGAAAGTGTTTGGTATATGGGAATGGGAGTAGTTTTAATTTAAAGTGTAATAAACACCCTAACGTCTTGGGAGAAAAAAAAAACTGTAAGAGTTAAAAAATGTAAAACCAAATGGACTATTTAACATTTTATTATTTCTACCAACTAAATCAATTTTGTTACATTTTTGTGTTCTGCAAAAAAATGAAAAGAAAATCAGTAATATTTGATTTAATAATCAAATAAAGCCAAATGCACTACATTGTAATCTATTATTCCTATAACCGCCAGTAAATTGATTTTAAAAACAGTTGTTTTTTATTTTAATGATTTTCTTCTGCAAAAGTGATCAACCACTTGTACAGAAGTACACACTTGTACAAAACTACACACCTGTACAGAACTACACACTTGTACAAAAGTACAAGAATTTTATTAAGCTATTTGATTAAAGAAAGTGATAAAACAATTGCTTCTCTTAACCCTTATCTTTAACCACACAAGGTTTCTTTTCGTTTTATTCCCTGCTTTTAAAATAAATCTTGATGCATTGTTGCTCTAGCAACAATCACAAGTAACTGTTATTATTTTCTGTTATAATGGAGTAAATAATGTTAAATAATAATGTTAATATTGAAACCAGTGAACTCATCTTTTGGCATTTTTGGCATATTTTCCACTATGCTTGTTCACAGACTATGGCGAGCAACTTGAATGTAAATGTCCTTCTGATCGTCACAACATGCAAGAAGGATTCCAAGAACACATATGAGCACAGAGATGAATGTGTTACACGAAAACAACAAACGGTGTGTATGACATCTTTATTGGTCTTATTATAAGTTATTTATATTTCTTTCTTTAATGTTTTGACATTGACGAAGCAACTTCCATTTTATATGAATTCACCATAGAAACACTGCAGCTGTGGATATTTAGTAACATTACAAAGTCACAAAATCCTTCCTAACCAAAAAGCCATAACTTTTTCTTTTACACAGCCGATGATTGACTGCGTTGTTTGTAAGACAACTGATGATCAGGAACTGGTGGACTGTGCCAGAAAGAGAGACGTCACTAGTGTAAGTTATAATTCTACTGTAAATGCTGCAGATATAGGAATACACACTACAACCAAACTAAAGACATCATCTAGACTTTTTACTTCAGACTGTTAAAAATAATTGGTTCTTTTCCAGGGAAGACGCAAAATGATTCGAGAAAAATGTAGGAATTATGATCATGGATCAGCACATGTTTTGGGGTCAGTGATGGAATGAATGTGAGCTCAAAGTGCAGACTTTATGCTTTAATTTGAGAGTATTGACATCCAAATCAGGTGAACGATGTAGGACTAACAGTACATATTATATGTGCGCCCCCCCCCCCCCCTTTTTTTTTGAAAAGGTGCTTTACTATGATTAAGCAGATTAGTAAATAAATCACATTAAAAAAGAGTGTTTTCTGTCACACTTTCAGGTTTTCTGACTCAACTGATTAGGCTTAAGTCTGTTTTGCTATGGCACATAACTATCTAACAACTTGATCAAAGCATGACATTAACACCTATTTAGCAAAGTTTTAGACATATTTAGGCATAATAGACCATTTTTACCACCACAAAACGGGCTCCTTACCCAGCGTGATCTTTGCAGGCAGATGCCAAGACAAGGCTAAAAAGGTGAAGTAAAAAAATTCATGCTGTTTTGGTGTATATGGTTTGAGACTCTTCCTTTTTTTTTTTTTTTTTTGGCCACCACACAATCTTGTGTAGTAAATGTAAATAAAGTAAAAAGGCTACATCTTACACCTCTATAACTGTATGTTGCTAAGAATAAATTTAAACTTGTGCATACTACATAGCGATGACTGCTCCTTAGTCTTACAAACTCAAATGTTGTGTCAGTAATTAATGTTATTTTCAGTCTTGCTTGCTGGAATTTAGTAGTAACATAAAATTATCATTATTTATGACTTATCTTGTATAGCCACATGTAACTGATGTAATGTGTTTGCTGTTATCTAGTACATAATAAAATGGTAGGTCAGTGTATGGAAGCTTCTTCTTCTTCTTCTGCTTCAAAAAAAAGTGTTGTTCAAAAATCACTTGTTAGATGTCTTTTCAGGAGTAGAGCAAAATAGTGACAATTTCTATTCACTCAAATGTCAGTAGCAAGCGTGAATAATAAAATAATTATTTTGGAAAGAAATCTCCTACAGAGTATCCACTACATGTATCCACTTGCAGACAGCAGGGAAAATGTTCATTGTGTAAACATAAAAATGCTAAGAGGGTACATTTCATTACAACCATACTGTGTAATTGTACACATTATATACATCTTGTAGGTTTTATACTATACAACTCAGCTTCCCCAATAAAAATGACTCTTTATTTAGTCTTTTTTTATTTCTGAAAATTTTAAATATGAAAAAAAAAAAACATTCTAATGTTCAGTTCAATCATGACAAACTAATGACACTATGAGAATGTTAACAGCAGCCAAATCAGTCTGCATTTATTTAACCAAAGGTGAAGGCCTTACATGTCTTTTACCTCAAGTTTTGTTTTTGCTCATGTCAAAGTACAAGAGGTAATTTGCCCTCAAACCACCTTTTGGCAAAAGGCAGCCAGTTGCACTTAAAAAGTGTAACTGCCGTCCTCCATGTTTGTGGTATTGGACAAAAACAGCTCTTGTACTTTGGATATCTACTTCACAATATTGCTTAAGAGTATTGTTTAACAGAGTAAGGGATTATTTAAAGTTACTCGTCAGTTTACCTTCATGACTCTAAATGTGAATTAATCCACACATTTCATGACAGAGTTGTTTAACAGGTTCTTGTTCTAAGGGCAGATGTGCTGGGTTTCAAGTACAGTCATGACTTTTACCAGTTATCCAAGTGCAAGGGAGATGTAGGAATAACAGAGAAAACTTTCTGAAAAGATCTTGGTATAAGATAAGTAGGTCAAATATGTCTATCCTCCACACACAGGAAATCAGCTTATTTTACAGTCAGCTTAAATGATCATCCAATTAATTATCCACACACACCTGTCTGGTCAAACCAATGATCGTTTATATGATATATGAGTGGACTACATGGTGCCATTTACTCCCATTGTGCGGTTTTGAAGCTGTTTGCAGTCGAAATGGGAGTTGCCATCTGCGCAGTAGATAAGGCTGCTCATATTAGTGATGCACACGGTGCTTGTGCATCTCAGGAGTGGGCATGCAAGAATTGTATTGGTGTAATTTTCACAAGTATATCGATTTCACCATTGTCAGGACAACATTTCAGTGCTTTGAGCATTTTAATCAATCAAGCAGTGTACAGTCATGGGAAAAAGAAAGTATACCCTGCTTCAGTTCTATGTTTTTATTTATCAGGGCCTAAATAACAATTATGTAGTCCTGACCAACTTCTATAAACAAACAAGTAACCTCAGGTGACCAAAAAAAAAAAAAAAACAGATTTCAACAAAAAGTAAACCAAAACCAGTTGGAAAAAAAAATAACTCAGTAACAGGTAGAACAACCTTTAGCACCAGTAACGTCAAGTAAATATTTTCTGTCTGAATTTATCAGTCTCTCACATTGTTTTGGAGAAATGTTGGCCCACTCTTCTTTACAGCATTGCTTCAGTTCATTGATGTTTGAGGGCATTCATTTATGCACAGCTCTCTTAAGATCTCACCACAGTATCTCAGTGGAAGTATCTTTACTTTTTCTTCTTTAGCCATTTGCTTGGGATCATTGTCCTGCTGCATGGACCAATTTAAGCCCAGCTTAAGCTGCTGGACAGATGGCCTCACATTTGTCTCACAAATATTCTGGTATAAAGTGGTAATTTGTGGTGATATGCTGGGTTTGGTTTTGGCTAAACATGGCCATG